ATATTTGGAGCTGTTTTCTTCAGAGTCATTATTACTCTGACAGCTGTACAAAGATTTCAGGGCAACTGATGAGCCAGACCCTGATTTTGAACATTTAAAAATGGTACCAGAACTGTCTTTTTAAACTTTCAGACTTAAGAAATGGGATGGACAGGAGTAATTCCGTTGCAATGTGACAATTTTGAATTTACATACACATCTATCAACTGTGGTTATTTATTAACTGTTTTGTTGAACTGATTTATGTAAAAAATGGAACTGTTTATGTAACTATTTTGTGAAGAAAAAGAGAAATTTGTTTTTTCTACCTAGGCTCAAGATGCAGTTAAAAAATTTATAAAGAAAAGGGGGAGTTAATATTCCTCAGTCTATTTAATTTAATATTTTCTTGTTCCTTGAATGGATTAATGTTAAGTTGTGTTAATATACCTTATGTTTTAATAGCAAGAAATGCAAATGGTTCTATTAAGAGATTGCTTTAAAATGTATTTTTGCTAAAGCTTTTAAAGTATTAATGGTTCTATTAAGAGTTTGCTTTTGGATGTAAGTTTGTAAGAATTGTAATTATTTCACTAATATTTATGTTAAAATTATGATGTTAACCTGTTAATGATGATGCTAAGGGAGTCTTTAGGTTTCATGTGGTTGCATCAGGACTTTGTTGATTTAAAGAAGGGCTTGGTACAACTAAGTCTATATTTTAGACCCATTCAAAAAGGCCATTCCATCTTTATCATCCTCTACTCCTTTACTGGGAGGTATAGCAGCCTTAATTAGCTAGGTCTCTCTATCTGATATTTTCTTATCCCTCTCTCCTCAAGAATACACTGAAAAAAGTGGGGGAGGGTCCTCCATAATCCACAAAGCAACAGAGAAAATGATTGTCAACCTCTACTCTCCATGCTTCCCTGCTTGAGAGTGCTGTGTATCTCCCTTGGACCCTCCTTATTCCTCCTGCATGTCCATTTATCTCCTCTGAGTCTGCCAGAAAACTCTGGCCAGCTGAATGTGGACTCTACTGGTGGTCTTGGAGCAACTACACAAAGGAATCTCCCACAATCTTCCCTTCTTTTGTCTAAACAAAAAGGAAAGATTTTAACTCTAACATAGTAAAACTATATACAATGAAAACATGTATCAAGTAAGGTTACATTCACAATGTCCAGTCCATTTGTATTTAGCAAATTCAGAGAAAATACTCCATCTGTCTTCTCTTGGTGAGTTCAAAGTTTTGTACCTAGTTTCCTTTCTGTCTTAACTAAGGAAAACTGTAACTATAACTATCTAGTCTTCAACCCCATCAGAGATCTGAGAAGGTTATAATATTACCCAAATAAACAGGAAGTGCAGAGCAAACAATTTGCAAAACTGTAGGAATCACAGAAACATCTGGCTGCCTGGACAGTCATACCAAGGTTCCTCTGTAACACTGGGGCATCATTTTCAGCCTACAGGCCTAAAATATCTGACAGACTTTTTTGTGAAGCAGAAATTTTGAAGGACTATTTTCCCTTGTCTTGACAAAGTTGAGCAGTCACCTTCTTTTGTGTTCTGCTTGTCAATTTAGACAGCATATATCAGCAGTTAAGGCAAGGGCAGTTTCTCAGTGGCTAACTGCCACAAAGAGAGCAAACTCAATATGGAGGTTTGTTGATGCTCATCATCTCTTTTGAAGTAAATTGGTGCTGCCAGGAGTAGATGTGTCTCACTTTCATGAAAAGCCTTATGTTAATAAAACATTTTAAATTCTGTAGGTCTCTGAAGTGTTTAAAGACCACCTATCTATTTAAAATATATATCTGTTTGAACTTGAAAACATACCTAACATGACTATAAGTTTGATTGTTTTAAATGACTAACTACTAACATGTATTTCTTTATTATCCTGATAGCTTTCAAGGACTAGAACTTCATTGCATTTTTACATGAGCTGCATTGGAACAATACCTTAAACAAGAGTATAAACATACATACAGTATAACACAAATAACCTTGAATTTGTATCACTATACAAAAATATCTTAAACAAGAGTAGCAACATATATATATGTATATATATATATAGCATAAAAATAGCCTTACATTTGTATCAGTATACAAAAATTCATACCAATGTAAAATATTTGAAACTAGTAGTTGCATTTTTTTAGTTTAAAAGTAGTTTCAACAATCTACCCTTCTATCTTACTGTTCCTATATCCCCCTTTTTTCTTTTCAGAATGAGAGCCCTGAGCCTAATCTCTTTTGCTTAGTTTCTTCCCTGCCCATGACCAATAACAATTTGTAACCAACTGCCTATATGATGGTAAACATCCATAACCCACTGAATGACCAGAAATCACCTACTGTACCTCTTGGGAATGTAGGCATCATGTTCTTAAAATTACTTCCTGCTGTCTTGGGGCAATGATATCTTTATGGGATCTTGAGAAAATTGAGATAATGGTCAGGTCCTGGGAGAGCTAGCTGTGTTATTTTTTTGTTTAGTCTCTGTGTGATGGGAAAGTGTAGAGCTTATCTAAAGTCCTGGCTGGTTAGTCTGTGAAGCTGGACCATCTCAGCTAGCAGCTTTGAAGTTGTTCTGGATGTAGAATATTGAGGAAACAGAAACAAAGGAATTTCGAGAGGCTGGATTACCTGAGCTACTTGTCTCTATTGGTGTCTGGTCCTTTTTTACTGAAAACACATAAACTTTTAAAAGTAACATATATATCTGCATTAACACAAGTATGGAATATGCAGTGTGCACAAGTTATCTAAAGATTTTTTTGTTTATGTTTGAGCAGGAAAAAGGCATCTGTTAACTTTATATGTCTGTTTGGACTATATAACTAAACCTCTATACATGCCATATGAAAGGATGATATATAATAATAAGTCACGAGGACCCTTTAGCCAACAAGATTTATCATCTCATCCAGTCTCAGAGCTGTTCCCATAATAGAGGTATCAGCATATACATCACCTGTTCTGTAGTCTTTTTTGGTTTCTTTCTTTATGTCTGTAGTCGAGACTTTCAGGAGGTCTCCCCCAATCAAATTCAATCTTCATTAATTTTGAAGAGAACCATACTTTTTGTTTCCTCTGGAAACAAAGGCATAACCTCTTCACCAATGTAACACATTTCCTGACTAACATTTTGAAGCTAAGACACCTCTAAAGTATCTAGGCTGGTTTAATTCAGCAGTCCCCTTCAAATTACAGTGTCACTCAGCAGCTGCCATTTGGTCATAAGCATTCTAAAAATTCAAAGTCAACAAAACACCATACAGGATCTAGATGCCCTGTGTATTTCCCACCTTTATGTGTATTTTTTATATTACTCTCTCTTTAAAGACTTTATTACTTTTAAACTATTTTTTTTTCCTATGACTGTCTATATCAATTTTTAACTGTATCTGTTTAAAGGTTTTCTTGGTCTGAACAGCTTTACTGTGCACCTGCAACCTTCTCTAACCACGAGAGCCAAGTCTTAAAACTGCTATGTGGTTCCACACATAGCACTGTACACTGTGGCCTGCCTGAGAGACTGTGTGGAGTAGGACTAGAAAGCCATGTCTGACTCTGTGTTTGTGTTTTATTTCTTTTTTCTTTTTAAAGCATTCTTAGGTTATATGTGGAAATATATGTGCTCCCACATTGGACGCCATATAAAGTGGCTTCTTTTATTGTTTTATTAATAAAAAAATGGTCGGGAGTCATATAGATCCACAGAGCAACGGAGAAAAAGACCAGCAACCTCTACTCTCCACTCTCCCGTCCTCCAAAGCTCCTCAAATCTCTTTTGGCCCCTCCTTGTACCTCTCGTGTTGTCCCTCTTATCTCCTCTGAGTCGCCAGAAACCTCTATATCCACTCGGAGGCTAAATATGAACCTGTCCTCAACCAAAGCCTGACTCGACTGGCTGGCGTCTTGGAGCGACAACACAAACAAATCTTCTGCAACAGAGGTTGGAAGCCACGTAGGTAGTATTTCACTCTGAAACTGTCCCGCCATAGCAAGAACTCACCTTCTGAAAGTGCTACCTTGGATATCAAACGGTCATTAGAAAAACCCTACGGCACTTAGCTGAGACTGACAGTTATTCATCGTGAGTCTTGGCAAGGGTTCAGCTTAAGACGAAATTCTCTTAAAGTGGTTAAAGTATTTGGAGTCCCTCCCCCCCCCCCAGCCTAATGCTTTTAAACAGCTGCTTTGTGTTGGAAAGGCACCCTCTTCTCTCCAGGTGGGTGTGTTGAGGGACTTGTCACTTTTTTGCCTTTTTGTTCCTGGTTTCTTCTGCATTCCTTTTGCAAAATCTAACTTGGCAAACTTTCTTTGTTGGCTTTTACTTGCCCAGTATGTTCGTTGTTTTTATTTCCTGGGGAGAAACTCCTCTGAGCACTTTTGTTTTAGTTACTCTCTGAGAAATATTACAAACATTCTCAAATGTGCTCAGGCTCAGAAAGGCCTGTGAAGGTACAGAGCGCTGAGGTGAACTATGATGTTAAAGAGAATAAGCTGGACTTGTCCGTGATAGTAAGAATGTGATAGCTTTCCAGAGAGATCATTTAAGAAAATTCATAGTCAATTTTACAGAAAAATACTCCAAAGTACTAACATAAAGCATTTAAAAATAACTTTTCCTTCAGGTTTCTTTGAAACCTGTTATTAAGTTTCTCAAAAACCAGCTTATGCCTTTCGTATTGTGCCCAGTGTCCATTACATGAAATTTGAATACAAAAATCCCATGCATAGGGGACCTTGATTTGTAGAGAAATGTTTCCTATTACTTCCAACCCATGGTTCTCATCTCCATTTCTCTGATCCTTCTTAGACATACTTTTGTTTCAGCAGGTCAATGATTTCCCAAATGAACCGGGAGGAAAAAGACTGGGCTTCTGTCCACTAATTTGCTTCTTTTCTGAGGTCGCGCCGCCTGGCTGTCGCTGGGCTCGGCAGGATCTGGGCTGGGGCGGAGCGGACGGCCCGCCGGGGGTGTGGCTAAGGGCGTGGCCTGCTCGCGGGGCCAGCCAGCCGGGCTTTAGTGGAGCTCTGCGAGCCGGCACAGCCTAGGTTTGCGGCGCGAGCCCAGCGGCTGCTGCGCTGATAGCGGGTGCCAGATGCTTGCAGATTCTCCGCTTCTCCGGAGCTCGGGTTCGGCTCGTACAGCGCCAACTCGCCCCGGTCCCGGAGGGACCCGGGCGATGCTGAGCCTGAGAAGTCCAGCATCTCAGCCTCGGGGCTCCAAAGGAAAAAGCCGAGCTCTTGCAGGTGAAGCTGCGGTCCGTGCGCTGTCTTCCGGAGGCCGCCTGCGCATCGCATCCCCGCCAGCCTCGGCCACGCATCTTACCCCGGCGCCGCCGGCGCAAGGAGCGCGGGAGAGTGGGGACCACGGCGGGGAAGGCGCGACCCAAACACCGAGGATGGACACCCGCACCTGGCATCTGAGCTGGCGCTGTCTCCTCCTCCTGGCTCTCCTTGGATCTACCCGAAGCGAGGGTTTGGAGAGCTGCGAAGAAGTTCGGAAACTTTTCCAGTGGCGGCTTGGGGGAGCTGTCAAGGGGCTGCCATATACACCACGGGCAGGTAAGAGCCCTGCCTGGCTTGGCAGTGTGAGGACCTCCGGCGGGCCGGGGATCTCTGGGCAGGCTCTCCCAGGCATCTAGGGATGGTCTTTCGTGAAAAGATGACCTTTCGGGTCCTCCAGCCCCACTAGGTGAATCGAGGTGAGGTCTTCAGGGATGCTTGCTGTGCTCACCCGAGTAGAGCAGCTTCAAGGGGCCCCTTAACTGCGCCTGGGGTTCTTTCAAGCTCTGGAGCATTTGCTTCCCGCCAGTGCTCTTTCTCTTAGTCTTAGTGATGTGTTTGAAGGACTAGTAAAGGGGAGGTTTGTTCATCGTGCTGACAAGTCTGTGGATCTGTTCTTAGAGGGGATGTCACCAGGGGTCCTGGTTTTGCTGTTTTCTCAAAACCTCAAAGGAATTGTGTTGGTTGCCACAAGTTTGATGGTAAAAACATAAATCCTTATGTTTCCTTTGCTGGACAGATGCAGCCGATATTTTCTGTAATGCACTGGACCCAGTACACTCAGACATAGCCTTTAGTTGCCCCTCAGCACCCTGGCACCAAGCTTTCCTACAGAAATCCGAGCTGCTCAGTGTGTCTCCCAAACCCACAAAATAGTTTCTCGCCTAAAAAGCGTTAGGGCAACAGGCGTTTAAACCCTGCCTTTTGGAGGCTCTGAGCATGGTTGCTGTATGCCGGAGACTCCCAGGGAAAGGATACAGTTAATGTGGCGGGTGGAGAACATTCTTCCTATAAGCTCCCTCTACCTATGTTCATCCCCTGTGCCCTATCCTAGCACTAAAATTCTTAGCTGCTGGCAGGAGAGGCAGTACACACTCTATCTGAAGAGAAGGTGTTAGCGAGCCAATGCAATTGGAGCTAAGTTAGTGAAGTAATGCTAGCTGTTGCTGAAGTCATCAGAAGGGGCAGAGGTTGTTGGGTGAACAAAGAATTTGCAAAGGCTGCCTGAGTACAGAACACATCCTTTTTCCAGTGCGAGGAGTCTTGCCTTTAGCACTCCCCAGTGGTAGCATATTGGCTTGGTTGCTTTTCTGCCAGTAAACTCGATGCTCATCATCCTTCCGGGGATTCTGGGCACATAAAACGATCAGTCAGAGCTTACATGACCACCTTCAAATATACCAATATTGATTTGAATGCCTATTCAGTACACAGACACTTTCCAATCTACTTGACACACATAGTTGATACTTCCAGCTTAGGGCATTTCTTGTCTCCTCAACAAATAAACAAAACAACAGCAGCAAAAATCCCCTTATATGTATGTACTTACTTATTTTAGTGTACTCTTTCATTAAGAAATGCATCTCACTTAGTTGCTTATAAAACTAAATGGTTTGTGTGCAATGGGTGTTGAGCTATGAAACCCTCACATTCTGAGAATTTTTGTCCCCTGAATGCCATAGCTTTGGCTGCGTGTTGACAGCTCTTCAGTAAGGCTTTGATTCCAACACCTTCTCACATCTCAGTGTTTCTAGTGCCTGCTGAAGACAACACATTGCAGAAAGGTGTCCAGTTTCATTTCTAGAACCTGTATATACTGTCCCTTTCTACAGCATTGATCACTGAGATAGCCTTTTACCACGGTGTAAGGGACTACTACTGAAGCTCTGCCCCACAGAAAAGCAAAAGGTTGTCAGTGTTGGCATTTGCTACTTATGTCACAGACTAATCCTGGGAGGGCATGCACCTGCTTTTTAAAGTCATCTTGGGTTGTTTCCCTATTGCAAACTCCTTTTTTATCTGTGGCCTCGGGTGATGGAGAGCAGAGCAGTCCCCACTAAAGGAGCTATGCTGTGGCTGGGCCAGCCATGCTCTCAGAGACAGCAGTCCCCACTAAAGGAGCTATGCTGTGGCTGGGCCAGCCATGCTCTCAGAGACAGCAGTCCCCACTAAAGGAGCTATGCTGTGGCTGGGCCAGCCATGCCCTCAGAGACAGCAGTGGTACTCCTGAAAACAGTGCCAAGTTCCTTGGGTATTTTCATTAAGGAAAGTCAGGTGAAAGTATTGTGTTGATTTTGACTAACCCAGTAAAACCATTCATACACAAACTTGGTATAATACTGAAATTTTCTTGTATCATTCATTAATTTTAATGCCTCAGTAAAACATTAAAATGTTTTAGCATTGATTTATCTTTTTTCCCCTGCTAAAAATATCCCATTCTCAATTTGCATAAGTTGTGTGTAGCATATGCTTAATAAACATTTTATTCTTATATTTATTATATTTATATATATTATAGTTGTATTTTTTATAACTATATAATAGCTAACATGATGAAGTCAGTAGGTGGCTACCTTGTTTTCTAAAATCACCCCGTCCTCAGGACAGTGTATACTTATATATCATTTCTGTACGAGAATACAAATAGTGCCATTTTTTAAAAAATTCATGTACTTACTTAATACATAGTCTTTCATTGGCTAAAACTAATACCTTTAATTTAGTGTTTGTTTTTTTAGCAGTTTATTTTTTAGTGCATTTATTTATTTATTTATTTATTGCATTTCTTGTCCACAGGGGTTAACTCCTTAGGTGTCTAGCTAAATTGCTATTTCTGTAATATAAAGAAAATTGACTAACTTTTTACAGTTCCTTCCTACACTTGTGATTTTTATGTCTTCTAGAAGATCTTAGCTGGTTTGAAATTATTAAAATGGTGTGGACAGTGACTTAAGCTCCTTCTTGGATTCCCACCTTTGTTCTCTGCACTGCTCCAATTCCTCTAAGCCTATTGAGAGCCTAAGAATGTTTGGATGAGAAATGTAAAAAAGGAGAGAAGGCACAAATGTGATTAGAATTACAGATGTCCCTGTGTTCCGATTTTATTTTCTAAGTAGTAGTCAAGGTGCCCTCTGCTCTTGTTTATTTTATTCAGAGAAGAACTGTGAGTGGGGGCATCTTTAAATGGCCCTTCTTTTTATTTTACTCATTGGGGAGGGGAGGCAATGATTTCTTCACAGATGTATTTATTATTTTAGAGGATAGTTAAGGGATTTATTTAAAACCAGCTGTCAGATAACTAGCATATAACTAATCTTAGTGGGTGTTCATCTATCTCAAATACACACTTTGTAGAAAACTCTGTGGAACAGGAGCCTTAGTCAACTTTTCATGACTACACAAGATTAGAATACCTGATGCAGTGAAATCACAAACAGAGAGATTTATTTGGGTTTGTGGTGTAAGGGGCTCCAGTGCAGGTTTCCATGGCCCAGTTGACTGGGACAGCCTAGGTAATTGTAGGTAGGCACTGGAGACTATACACTTGAAGGTGAAGGCACCAGAGTCCAGGAGCCCCTTCTGGAGCCATAACTCCAATGATCTAAAGACCTCCTGCAGAATTTACCTCTGGAAATTCTAAGACTGCCACTCCTGCACCAGGGTTTTTCTACAAGACTTTTGTGGGGTGCTCAGCACCCAAAGTATAGCAATCATTTTCACCTGGATTGTTTTAGCTATCTATAGAATGGTAGTCAATTTGAAGTGACAAAAACAGAAATTCTGATATTATGCAATACTTTAAAGTAGAACTCTGTGAAGTGGCTTTGGCTTTGGGGTTGCTTTAAAATGCTTTCATTCAATCACACCATAAAAGGTCAGTTTGTCTCACTGTAACATACAATAACAGCAGTCTACCTAATAAACATGGGGCTCAGAATTACACACAGCTGGGCTGTGAAAGTTGAAGGTTCTACTTATAGTTCTCCATGTGAAGTTGATAGGTTGTCATCTTTTAAAATGTGTGCGTGCATGTGTTTGCATGCGTGCGCATGTGTGTAGCTGGAGTTATCTCTAGTCCCATCCAGGCCGCAGCCACTCAGACCCAAATAAACATACAGACACTTTTATTATTTAAACTGTTTGGCCTAATGGCTTAGGCTTCTTGCTAACTGTTCTTATATCTTACATTAACCCATTTCTATTAATCTATAAGTTGCCATATGGCTCGTGGCTTACCGGTATCTTTACATGTTGCTTCTCATGGTGGCGGCTGGCAGTGTCTCTCTGACTCAGTCCTTTTGTTCCCAGAATTCTCCTCTCTCTTTGTCCTGCCTATACTTCCTGCCTGGCTACTGGCCAATCAGCACTTTATTTATTAACCAATCAAAGAAACACATTCACAACATATAGATATCCACAGCATGCGTGCATGCGTGCGTGTGTGTCTGTGTGTGTTTGAATGTGGTAAGCATACATGCCAGGGTTGTCCTTATAGAAGTAAGAGCACAGCCTTTGGGAATGGGTTCTTTCATTCCGGCATGGGGTTGCAGGGCTTGAAGACAAGCGATAAGGATTGCAGGGTCAGCACTTTCGCCCATGGAGTCACCTTGTTAATTAAGTTTAATTAAGTTAAATAAGTTAATTGTCATCTTATACCTCTTTCCTGGTTTGTAAACTCTGGACTTTTACTTTTTGCCTTGATTTAGACTTACTTGATTTTTAAGGGTGCAACTTTAGTGTGTCTTATCTCTACATATCAAGAGGCTTTAAGAATAATAATTGAAATTTTTCATTCACAAATATTTAGTTTTAATGGATGAGATCTACATGAACAGCCTGGTCATGAGTGGGAACAATGAAGGGCGAC